AGTGGTGAGAGTGGGCACCCTTGTCTTGTTCCTGATTTCAGGGGAAATGCTTTCAATTTTTCACCATTGAGGGTGATGCTTGCTGTGGGTTTGTCATATATAGCTTTTATTATGTTGAGGTATGTTCCTTCTATTCCTGCTTTCTGGAGAGTTTTAATCATAAATGGGTGTTGAATTTTGTCAAAGGCTTTCTTGGAAGAGCATTTTTCAAATGCCTTCTCTAAGGGAATAAGCTAATAAATGGAGAACCTGATCTGAACTGGAGTCTGCCCTATTACTCAGTCCATTGCTCCCTTCAGTTCTGTGCAGCGTCTTATAGGTGCTACATCTTTTGTCTTGAAGGTGCAAAATGTGCATTATTTTGATTTAATTCTCTTAACACTCTGCAAGCCATAATCTTCATTTTCCTGGTTGGGAAATGGGCTCATAGAGGCTAAGTAACTTGTGCAAAATTACACAGAACAGTGGCAGGTAGCAGAGCTGAGATACTCAGGTCTGCTTGACTCCCAAGCCTATTCTCTGTCCACTTAGCACATGGCATGATCCAGTCAGAGGGCAAAAGGCTGTAACTGGGGAACTGAAGTTCACTGTGGTAACTGCAGGAATGAAATAGCAAGGGCAAGGAGTTGCTAGTTCTACAAGAAAGGAATGGAGGGAGCTGATCAGGCTGTGGGTCCGGTATGTCCTGATCATGCCCATATTATAACAGTCACTCACTCACTCATTCATCAAGTATTTGGGGCCCTTTGATTTGCCACGGATACTAGTGGTGATTGATGAGAAAGACAAAGTTTTTAAAAAAGAAAACTCATAGTCAAAATCGAACGGAAACAGCTCATAGACTTTTTAGAAGGGGGTAGAAGAATGAGATATATCAATTGTGTCCATTTCTTCTTCTAAGTGTTACAATAGAGCTAGTCCCGGGTACCGCTGATCAGGCATGGAAAGTAAGCCAGCATCTCCCTCTCAGTTACAATGAGTCCCTCCCATCCTGACTGCTTCCCCGGCCTGCAGGGCACCCGCAGAATCTCTTCTGCCAACCTCTCTGACCACCTGTCCTCTGCCACATGCACCTACTTCTGGTTCAAGGTTGCCAGATTCCTTCCTGCCACTGGGCTTTTGCCCTTGTTGTTCCCACAGCCTGGCCTGCTCTTTCTCTGGAACTCTGAATCCGAGACTTAGCTCCAGTGACTCCTCCTCAGAGAGGCTTCCCTGACTGCCCTCGTAACTCACTTTTTGTCACATAATCCAATCCTCCCCCTCCTCCTTCTGGCACTAATCATGATCCAAAAGTCAGTATAGTTTAGTAGTCAAGAGCATGAACTCTGGAAGCATGTCTCGACTCTGACATCACATTAGCTGAGTACGCTTGGGCATGTCACTTAACCTCTCTGGGTCTCAGTTTTCTCATCTGAAAATGGTGATAATGACAACAGTCCTCCTAATCTCCTGGAGCACCTATTGGTGGGGGTTTTCTGAGTTTACCTGCATAAAGCATGGACAGTACCTGGCACTTAGCAGGTATGTAATAAAGCCAAAGTAAGTGAATCGTCTCATTTTCATTCATCCATGCAATACATATTGAGTTTGAATACATAGAGACAATAGGATGAAGGGCTAGAAATGCCACAGTGACCCGGCCAGGCACAGCCTCTATCCTCAAGAGCTTACTGCCTGTCTGAACCACTTCCCTGTTGACACAGGTCTGCATTTCACTTGTAAACTTTTGCCTGGAGGTTATCTAAACCTTTCCTCTTCATTCTAGTTTCTATCTCCCACTTCTTATCTTGGGATTCATAGTACCCAGAAGGCACCCCTGCCTTATGATGGCTTGAGGTGACATGAAGATCTATGCATTTTTACACCCACATGATTTGTTCCTTGCAGTTGTGTTCTTTCCTTCAGGAGTCAGAATCAATTAGAGGCTTGGCTAGCGAGGCTCTGGTGAAAGCTCACCAAGGAGACAACAAAAGCAGCAGAAGAGTTGAAAGGTCTACCTCCTCGCTTCTGTTCTGGGGGCAGACTTTCCCCGAGTCCAACTTCTTCTCTCCTAGATTTTGCTTGTTGGAAGCCTTCCCTGACTTTCTCAGACAATGGCTCTTAAATAGGCCTTGTGCTCATCCCTACAGTAAGGCTTTGTTCCATTGCAGGGTAACTGTCTACTCTCCTGTCTCCCCAGCTAGTCTGCATCACCATGAAGCCTAGGCCATCTCTTTGGTCTTCTTCTCCATTGTATCCTCCAGCCAGCAATACCTTCTTATTGTTGACAAATAGAGCCCTTTATGCACATACTGAACTTAGGTAGAGGATAAGAACCAATAATGTGGGTAAATTAGGAGGCAGTGATTTATCTTTTGTTACAAAATGTCTATTTATGAAAGAAGTGTTTGCAGGGTTCCATTGAGTAGAACTTCCCAGGTCTCGCTAGTGCTAAAGAATCTGCCTGTCAATGTAGGAGATGAAAGAGTCTTGATTTGATGCCTGGGTCTGGAAGATCCCCTGGAGGAGGAAATGGCAACCCATTCCAGTATTCTTGCTGAGAGGATCCCATGGACAGAGGACTGGTGGGCCACAGTCCAAGGAGTTGCGAAGAGTTGGACATGGCTGAGTGTCTGGGCACAGCACATTGAGTAGGGAGTCAGGGTTATTGCTATTAAAAAAACCCCCACATTTCAACAGCTTAATGCCCACAAACACACACAAAACTTTCTCAATGATGTAACAGTTCAAGTGTTCAGTTAATAGCCTTCTAAATCTTGTGGCTTCACCATCCCGTATGCTCCTGGGGTCCTCTGTTAAGACTTCTGCATTTGGTTGATAGATGGAGAGAGAGAGAAAGAAGACAATCATTCAGGACAGTCACTCATCACTTCCCATCCCAGACCAGAACGGGGTTGCATGGCCATATCAGTTGCTAGGGAGCCTGGGGGAGGCAGTCTAGCTGGATATCCAGGAGGAGAGGCAAGTGTTTTTGTGAGCACACAGCAGTCTCTGCCCTGGGAGCGTACCAGAGCCAGCTGGTCCTTGTGTAAAGTGATACATGTGTCCGTAAAGTGACATGTGTGTCCACCATGCAGTGGATCCCAGAAGGATGAAATTGCACTGATGTCTGCCATTCTGGCTTTGCAGGCGAACTCATGTGATCAAAATCTCAATCACTGCCTCGAACTCATTGAGCAAGTTGCCAAAGTGCAGGGGCAACTCTTTGGGATCCTCACTGTAGCAGCCCAAGAAGGTGAGAACGGCCCATGCGTCTCCCTCCGGCTCTCCCCTCTTCGCCCTCTTTTTCTTTTCCCTTCCCTTTGCTCTCTGCCTGGGTGGGTGTGGTTGGCTTTCTCTAGCTCACCTTGTCTGTGGACTCTTCCAGGAGGACATTATGATGGCGTGGAAACAATCAAATCGCGCCTTTTGCCTTGGCTGGAGGCCTCCTTCACAGCTGCTTCCCTGGGAAAACCTGTGGACAGCAAGGTCCCTTCTCTACAGGTAGGGATACTAAAGTGTCATCCTCGGTGTTCAGCACCTCTTCAGCCTCTGGGAACTCAAACATACATAAGATAAGGCTTTTTACCTAGTGAGGGGCTCGGTTCTAGTTAGGGAACTGAGACATGGGTTGGAAAGGTGAGTTCCTATTTATCATAGTATGTGGCACAATGGATTAAGTTTTCTCTTAAGACAGATCAGTAATAAAATATCAGCCTTGCCTGCTTCCTGGTGGTATGGCTTCAATCAACTCAAGGAGCCTCTGCTTCCTCAGCTATGAAAAGGGCCTGGTGATGGTCTGTATTTGGGACATTGATGTACCCACTCTAGGCATTAAATAGTAACTTTTAAATGACAAGTTAGTCACCCTGACAGGGTACCACGGGAAGGGGAGGGGAGTCATAAGAGAAAGGGATCATTAAAAGGGGGGCAGCTCAGTATTCTGAAAGAGTAAAATAAAATGAATTACCTAATTGGAAACTTCTCAGATAAGAAAACTCAATGCTGGTAGACTGATCAATAGTGTCATCATTTGTGGTTGATGTATCAGTGGTTTCCACACAGCAGTGGTAGTGTTTTAACTGTTGAGGACCAGGCTGAAAAGAGAACACGTACTTTGCTCAAGGCAGGGGCCCCCAACCTCCAGGATCTAATGCCTGATGATCTGAGGTGGAATCGATGTAATAATAATAGAAATAAAGTGCATGATAAATGTAATGCACTTGAATCATCCTGAAACCATCCCCCACCCCCGGGTCCGTGGGAAAATTATATGCTATGAAACTGGCCGCTGGAGCCAAACAGGTTGGGGAGCGCTGGTAAGGCATGGGTATCACTGTGTCTGGATAAGCAAGACGTTGGTAACCTTGATTTTCAATGTTTTTCGGATTTATATAAATGTCTTTCAAAAGGTGAACCACTTAGATTAGGCTGTGCTCTAAGACCATAGCTGTGTTCTAAGACCTGTTCTAAGACCAGGCTGTGCTCTAAGACCACAGCTGTGTTCTAAGACCTGTTCTAAGACCAGACTGTGCTCTAAGACCATAACTGTGTTCTAAGACCTGTTCTAAGACCAGGCTGTGTTCTAAGACCACAGCTGTGTTCTAAGCAAGAGGGCCTTATGAGGTAGTGGCTGGAGGATTCCTGCTTAGAGATCACGTGACAGAATCCTTGTCCACCTTCTAAGGTCCTAGGTAGATTGCCCAACCTTTTAGGTCTCAGTTTCCTCAGCTGCTAAATGGGAACAATGCTTTTGCTTACCTAATAGGGTCATTGTGAGAGTCAAACGTGATAAGCATGGGAAAAAACTTACATGTAGGAAGTGCTCTGTAGATGTCAGTTTTCATTAAAGAAAGTTTTTACATGGGGAAAAAAAATGTCTCTTAGATTTTTACCCCCTGTAGATGTTATTCTGGGTATAAAGATGTAGAATGATACTTCGGTGTCTTTTTAAAAAAATCTGAGGTGTCACTTACCTGCAGTGAAAACCATAGGTTGATGAATTTTGACAAATGGATATATCCTTGTAACTCACATCCCTATTGAGATACAAAACATTTCCATTCCTTCAGCTCATTCCCTTGTGCCACTTCCCAGTTCTCTCCCTCTGCCCTTAGGGCAATCACTCTTCAGAATTTTATCATTTTAGGTTAATTATGCTTGCACGGAAACTTCATGAAAATGAAACAATACATTATGTACCCTTTTGGCTTGATTTCTTTTGTCTAGCGTAATGTTTTTGCTGTGCATGTGGCTTCATGTTTTCAGACTCTGTTTTGATTTGTGTATCATTCCAGGATACATTCGATAAGGACAGACATAAAGAGCCTGGTATTTGGGACATACAACCTTTAGATGCTGATTTGAGTGCAACTCGTAATCAACTCAACCAGGTTCAAGACGAGTAAGAGGAATGCAAGTTATCTTCCTTCAAAAAGAATTGCTTATTCTTAATATTTAAGTTTAAAAGGAAAATAGTGGCTCATGTAAAATGTAGATGTTTGCAAATGCGTAACATGATGTGTGTGTGTGAGCTGGGAGTCGGTGTCTCTGAATTCGGGGATGGGATTTCTATATTATGATCCCTAAGACTCTACCTCCCTTGGCTCCATTCCTGAGGTTCCTCCTCCTTCATAGGCCCACTGTCAGTTCATACGTATAAAAAAGAAAGACTGTAACATGCAAATCTACCGTTGGGAAGGAAAATAAGAAAAGATGCAGACAGGAAAAGAGTGAAAGATCAGGTAAAGAGAAAAAATAAGAGAAAGAGAGAAAAAGTAAAATGAAGCAGTCTGCATCTGTCAGTTAAGGTCTATGTATGCCTGACTAAGAAGCATTCAAGATTTTGGAATAATTTTGAGATACAAAAGTGTAATTTGAAAAAGTTAAGTAATGTCAGGCAATAACAGACCTCAGATGTATCCTGTGTGCAAAGCCAGGGTAGCAAGCTCAAGGAATCACTGCAATGAAAATTGCAAACTCTGGGTTTGTACTTGAGGGAGATAGACAAATGTGATGCAACTGCTTTCAACTTATCTAACAAAAATCCATCAAAAGATATTTCTCTCACCGCAGCATTGCTCCATAGCTGACCTGCAGAGGGCAGCAAAGGATTCTTTTGTCACTAGTTAGGGCTTATGAAAAGAAGAAAGAATCTGCCTACAATGCAGAAGACTGGGTTCAATCCCTGGGACTGAAAGATACTCTGGAGAAGGGAATGGCAGTCCTCTCCAGTATTCTTGCCTGGAGAATCCCATGGACAGAGGAGCCTGGCGGGCTACAGTTCGTGGGGTTGCAGAGTCGAACACAACTGAGCGACTAACACACTACACAGGGCTTATGATGGAATACCGTGTGGCCTTCTGGCTTGTTCTCTGCTGAAATTTCCTTCTAAAGAAAACATCTCTATTGATCAATTGATTTAGTTTTTCCAAATTATAAAAGTTATACACATTTCCTTCTCAAGATCATATAATAAGAGTACAAAGGTGAAAATCATCTATTAGTTTATGCCTATTAGCATTTTTTGCACATTTTACTCTAGATATTTTTCCTTTCACACACACACACACACACAGAGTTACCTCCCCACACACTTATTTTTCCAATTGGAACCATTGTCAGCAGTTTTATAACTGCAGCAGTCAAAATTTACAAATGTAGTGTGCACAATGCATAAATTCCTTTGAATTTCTATGACTTAATTCAACTAATGTCAACTAATTTGGAGAGGGGTAAGGAGGAGCCTTAACACTGCCACTTCTTTTCTGGTTTATCGCAGTTCTTTTTGTGTAAATCTTCAGTTAATTCCAAGTTCGGACTGCTGTTAGGGGCTGTGTTTGCCCTCTCAAGGGGTCTCACTGTCCTCTTCCCTCCTTAGGCGGCTGTCCAGGGGTGGAGGGATGCGTTCGTGCTCTCCTGGTGCTGGAGGAGAGGGGCTTTGGGTCTTCTGCTTCCCTCTGGCTTCTTGCTGCCTTGGTTCTGCCTGGGCACTAGAGTTTTGTGCTGATGGATGCTGAGTTGTGGCTTGTTGGTTAGGCTTCCTGGGGCATTTGATGGCCCCTGCTGCTGCCTCTGGTTATGAGGCAAATCTTTGTGACCTTTCTGGTTCTTGACTTCAGGCAGCACCCATAGGAGCCAGGAATTCCTACCTCCCTCTCTTGTCACCATAGTTGTGTAGTTACCCATAAGAGGTATCATGGACCAAAAGCTATGACTGCGTGAATTTTTTTAAAAAAGTGTCTATCTGAAAATAATGTCAAATACAGAAAATTTGCAAGAATAATACTAAAAACAGCCATGTACCCTTTCATATGCCTTCTGCCCTGTTTACTTTAGCATTTGTACTTATGCCCCATCTGTGTGTACACTCCCCTCCCCCATTTGAAAGTTGAACACAGGAAAGTGCTTCCTTTTTCCCCTAAATGTCCTACTTTTGTTTTGGTTTAACCCATTTGAGGTTCATATTCTATTTCTCAAGGCATCAGAAATGATGGAGGCTGTTCTATGGTAGCCAGCTCTCTCCTCCACTGTTCCACTTCCCTCTCTCTCAAGCCAGGATGCTCTCTACTGTGGAATGAAGGGCCCATCCAAGGAGGTTCCCAGGTCTAACCTTGTGGAGTCCAGTTTGGGTGTGTCTCAGTTCCAGAGGAGCCTGTTCCAATAGAAAGGGGACAGGTCTGCCCAGGTTTGATGAGCTCTAGACAAGGGAAGACCACTAGATTTTAGGCTGGGGCTCTGGTTAGAAGCCTCACGTGTTCTCACTTCCCATGTCCAGTCTATTAGAGGACCCAGTGGCATCTGCCCCCTAAACATCTCTTGCACACGCTCCTTTCTAGACTGCCTCTGCGGCTCTCAGTCACTCCTCCGCAGGCGCTCGCCTCTAACACTTGCCTTCCACCTGGCTGCCCTGGGTCTGTTCTTGCTCTGCTACCATCCATTTTCCACACAGGAAATAGAGATATATTTTTATTATAGCAAGTAACTCCCCCACATCCAGCTTAAAGCCTCTTAGTCACCCCTTTTTGTACTTAGAAAAAAAATTCTAAATTCCTTCTCAGAGCTCTCCCAGCCCTGTGTGATCTGACCCTCCCTCTCGCTCCATCCTTATCTCACGCCAGGCTCTCCTCACCCAGGCTTCCCTTTGCTTCCTCACCTCGCAGGCCTTGCCTGTGTCCTTTCAGAAAAGCAGAAGTCTTCTGCTGGTTCTTTGCAAGACTAGCTTTTTCTTGTCTTCCAGGTCTCAGCTTAAGTGTGACTTAAATGCTCCAGAGGGTTACCGTCCTGTATCACTATTCTGACACTTGAATATTCAGCACCCAGCATCGTGCCGGCACATAATAAATTCTCAGTAATTTGCTCAATGAATGAATAAATCTATAACGAAAAATAAATGTTAGCCTGTTTAAAACAATGCTTGTCACATGAAATGTACCCCCTTTCTTCTTTCTGTATATCATCCAAGGGGGCCAAATTAGCCCTCTTGCCCCCTTTGTTCGTATGCATATTAGCTCACACACGTGGGCCGGGTCTTTTTAAATTGAAGTGTAGTTTATCTACAGTGTCGTGTTGGTTCCTGCTGTATGGCGGTGTGATTCAGTTACACATACACACACACGCATTCGTTAACACGCTCTTTTCCATTTTGGTTAATCACAGAATATCAACTGTAAGTCCCTGTGCTGCACAGTAGGAGCTTGCTGTTTGTCGGTTCTGTATACAGCAGTTTGCACCTGCCAACCCGACTAGTCCTCCCTCCCCCACCCTCTTTCCTATGCCTTGTCTTGAGACAAAAAGCAAAAAAAGCAAACGAAAAATCATTACTGTTCCTACTCTTCTCCCTTTCTTGGTCTATTTTCTTCTTTTAATATTCCACAATTTTCTCTTGGTGAAAGTGTTCATTTTCCCATATATACTTTAAAAAATCTATAACATATTCACATTTAAATTAAATCATAGTAATTTCCTTTTAACTGCCAACATCCCTATTATGAAGTTATTGCTACTTTGGTGTTAGTTTAGACTTTAGGCATTTCATTGTTTCACTCATTCATTTTTTTTTTTTAATCTGCTATATGACAGGCACTGTTTAACATGCTAGGGATAAAGAGATCAATAAAATAGACTCTTTGCTTTTCAATAGTTCACAGTTTGTTTGTAATGAGATTATAGAAGTGAACAACTGTGGGAAGAGCTCAGAAGGGGAGACAAACTGCCTGAGTTAGACCTGGCCTTTGGAGAGGTATTCATGGATGAGTGGGCGTTTGTTGGAGGAGAAGGATGTAAGATGGGATTTGGGGAAACTCGCACCACTTCTTCAATTTCCTCATTGCCTGGGACCAGTGGGGACTTGATAGGAATCTAGCTAGCCCATTATTTCTCAGTCTGCCTCGCTGTATAGGGGAGGCCAGAGTTTGACCTTCCATTCTTCTGCCCGAGTGTAAGGGGGAAGACTGGTGTAAGTTTGGATAGCAGTTGCAATCTCTTGTTCTCAGAACTACTGTGATGAAAGAGACAGGGTGTTCCAGGGATGTAGGGTCAGAGATGTCCGGAAGCCTTTGCTATGATCTGTCGCTGTACGAGGATAGCTTCACTGAGAACCATTGGTCCTTGTCCAGTGGCATCCATCGCATTCTCATTTCCTTTAATTTAGACCTAAAGAAACAGTATGATTTATTATGATTTGCCTACAACGAGAGGAGTCTTTGAAACTAACAATGACCAAACTAGGTTGAAAATGCAAGAAAATTGTGCTCAATTAGTGGTGGAAGTCAGAGGCAGGAACACATGAGATACTTGGTAGGTGAGTGTAATTGTGAAAGACTTTCTTTATAGGTCGGCAAATAATTTTTTTATATTTAGTAAGTCCAGGAAAAGTTAAGTCAAATACAATGCTACAGTGCAAAATAATAAGAATAGGTATTAATATATTACAGAAAAATGGAGATTTTATTGAGAGAAGCAACCTGGGGATTTGGTGTAATTAGAGAAGATGAATTAGAAGGGTGAGATGAAGAGATTGAACAAGTTTCTTTGTACTTTACATTCTAATATCAGTAATTATTATGTCGTCTTGTAGGGGTAGTAGCACTGAGATTTCTTTGTGTTTGACATTGAGGAAAGATGCTAGCATGTTTTTGCATACCATTGTGCCATAATATTTGTAATATCATCTGATTGAATGCAGATGTCTTTTAATTTGTTCTTGTTTATGTTGAATTTATAGCATATGGCAAAAGTTCCCCAGAGAAACTATGCCTTAATTTAAAAAGTCTGCCAGTTTTGGAAAGTCTGTCTTTAGTTACTGATTTCTCTTACAGTATGGCTGAGACTGAAAAGACTCTTGAAGAACCCAAGAACAGATCTGCCATATCCCTTTTGGCTGCAGAAGAGGAAATAAATCAGCTGAAAAAGCAGTAAGAAAAAAAAATGCCAGGATTATTTCAGGCTGCTAATTAATCTTTGAATTAGCTTTTTTGGTGCTCCATGACAATACAAAAGAATCTGTCCACAAAGAGGAGAGGCAGCAACATTTTTATTAATATTTTATATACTTTTCTTATTACGAAAGCAGTCAGTTCAGTTCAGTTCACTCTCTCAGTCATGTCTGACTCTTTGTGACCTCGTGGTCTGAAGCATGCCAGGCTTCCCTGTCCATCACCAACTCCCAGAGTTTACTCAAACTCATGTCCATTGAGTCAGTGATGCCATCCAACCCTCTGTTGTCCCCTTTTCTTCCCACCTTCAATCTTTCCCAGCATCAGGGTCTTTTCAAATGAGTCAGTTCTTCACATCAGATGGCCAAAGTATTGGAGTTTCAGCTTCAGCATCAGTCCTTCCAATGAATATTCAGGACTGATTTCCTTTAGGTTGGACAGGTTGGATCTCCTTGCAGTCCAAGGGACTCTCAAGAGTCTTGAGAAGTCCACAGTTCAGAAGCATCAATTCTTTGGTGCTCAGCTTTCTTTATAGTCCAACTCTCATATCCATACATGACCACTGGAAAAACCGTAGCTTTGACTAGATGGACCTTTGTTGGCAGTGTCTCTGCTTTTTAGTATGCTGTGTAGGTTGGTCATAGCTTTTCTTCCAAGGAGCAGTGGTCTTTTAATTTCATGGCTGCAGTCACCATCTGCAGTGATTTTGGAGCCCAGGAAAGTAAAGTCTGTCACTGTTTTCCATTGTTTCCCCATCTATTTGCCTATCTACTATAGAAAATCTTCAAAACATAGTAGAAAGGAACCAAAAACCTCTCATAATTCCAGAGCCAGTTCACTGTCACCATTGGATATTTCTTCCAATTAGTTCATTAAAAATAAAGACAACAAAATATATATGAGTTGTGGACCTCATTTTTTCATTTAATATTTTTCTCTATTACCAAGAAAAAATAAAGCAGAGCTTAGTTTTAAATAGATACATCATATTTCCTCATTTGAGTATTTCCCTAATATTAAATATTTACTTTGATGCCAATTTTCAACATTAGAAATAATTTTTTGGTGGCAAATCTTAGTTTAAATTTCAGATTATTAGTCTCTAAAGATAAATTTCTAGAAGGGGAAAATAAACACTGATCCTTTAAAGGTTATACCTTTTTAAATCTTAACTTTGATTTCCCCCCCAAAAGAGCAGTAGTAAGATACATATATACACATTTCTATGTTTTCATACATGTTCCAATTGTTCTGATTTGTTTAGGAACACCCATAAATTTTAACTTGCAGCACTGCTCTGTCTTCCACTTCTAACTCCCCTCTCATCATCATTTCAGTCTCTTATTTTTCTAGCTGATAAAGCTTCTCAAATTCTTTATCTCCTATTACTCAACAATTCTTATAGCACCTACTCTGTTCTTCACGGTTTCTAGGGCAGCGTTTAATTCTGCTACTGCATTTTCAGCTCTTCTGTATCCTTCTTAATCTTACCCCTTCCCTTTTCTTCTCACACCATTGTCATTTTCATCACATCGTGTTATCTCCTTATGACTTTTTCTCCCTGGTATGATGGTCACACCTCTTTGTGTGTACTGAGGATGCCCATTTTATTTCTAAAGCTTTGCTCCTTTCCGTAATACATTATTTTTATAGGTCCACACATCTGCTTAGTGTTGTGGATGTTATTCAATTTCCAGTGAAGTCCCCCATGCCTCCCACATTCTGAACACTAGTGAGAATAGATCACGTCTTGACCAGCTTCTGGAGTAGGTTTTGGAGGTCACTTCTTCCAGAGTTTTGTGCAGTGAAGCCATCCAATATAGAATAGGATGACTCTACATTGCCTCTGCAAGGATTTCATGACTCTGCCCACAGCTTTGGCTAGAAGATTTGCACACCTATCTTTTCTTCAGGAGCTTTCCCATGCAAGCTGCAGACACGGTGTGGTTCCCTACCCTGGCAATTCTGTTAATTTGTTCTTGTTCCTATTTCCATGAGTTTTCCAAGGCAATAATGCCACACTAAATAGAGTAGCCTCCTTAAGTATGCCAATTGCAGTTTATCACCTTTCCTCCATCTCTACCTCTCTCTTTCAAACCTTTGTTTCTGTTCAGGCTTAAATCTCTTCAAGCCCAGGAAGAATCCCGCCACAGAAACTCAGATCGAAGGAGATCAGAGAAGCGGGGCTCCGAGCGGAGGAGAGTGGAGCTGCGGGGCTCGGAGCAGTGGGTCTCTGACAAGCGGAGCGCAGACAAGCGGAACGCAGAAGCCGTGTGCGATTATGAGAAACAGCTCCGAACGCTGAAGGACGAGATAGCTGTTCTGTCTGCTGAAAAATCTGTACTCCAAGGAAGGTCTGACAAACTCTTGCTGATCTTTTCATTTCAGCCCCTTTTTGCCAAGTTAGTGATCAAAGCCCGGCTCGGTAAAGGAAAAAAACAAAAGTAAAATGATATCCTGAACCCAAACCCCAACAGTATGGAAAATTTTGAACTGTAGAAGGCTGGTTTCTCTAACTGCTCCCTTCCAGAGAGAAAATACCTCCTGGATTTACAATACTTGGGCACTAATTAATTTCAGACTGACACCGAAACTTACAGAATGGAACTGAGATGTGCAAAAGAAAGTTTGTGGCTTGAAACCAGATTTGAGTGCCTATAATGCAAAAGGCAGTACTCGTGTTGAAACACTTGATACCTGTGTTGAAACACTGTTCATGATAGGAGGGTCCTGTTCTCTGAGTCCTAGGAGTCCTCTCTCCAGAGATGACCCAGTGTCACTTTACTGCCAGGCATTTCCTTTTTACATCTCATTTTGTCAGGTGGGGTATGTAGGTAAGGGAACGTGAAATTGCCTTCTACTGATGGACAAAATGTTAAGACAGGTCATTCAGTGTTAAGTGAGGTCAAAGCAGGATGTTTCTCTGCCTTTTCTTGTGCTCACACTTCCCTCTTCCCTGCCAGCCCCGCAGGGTGCCCAGATTCAGGCTAACATCAAAGCCACGCCTACCCCAGCTCTCCATTTCCCTCTATGTCGCCTTAATCTTTCATTCTGGGGAATCGCTCCAGCAGTGTGGAGCAGGTGCCAGCTTGTACTAGCTCCTGGGGACTGATTCTGTGCATTTCTACCTAGCTCCAGGTTCAGGGACATCACATGAATAGTTTGAAATTGCCTGTGGTGAGAGTGCTTGTTGCACTGGGGAAATTGGCAAACACGATAAATGAGGGCTCCACCCACCTCCACCTTCCACCTTCAGAGAGGCTGCCTTGCATTGCTTTTTGCCCCACCTTTTGCCCATAGTTCCTTCTACAAAACTTTCCCTTAGGATTAGCTTTTCTGATCATTTATTATGTACTTGGTAGCAATATATAATACCTTTCACTGACACAATGCTTTCGATTCAGCAAGTACCTCCCCATATTCTTCCAACCCCCACCACCATCCTAAAATAGGGCACAAATTATGTAGGTGAAAATGGAGGGTCTGGAGAGGAGACATGACTGCAAATGGTTTCACTGTTATAGAAGGAGAACACGTTTTCTTTCTCACTGTTTGATCTGTTTATCTCATTTTATACCAGAAAGCTCAGTGATGTGTCAGTCGCCGGAGGTCAGGGTAGGAAATCTGACTTCTTTAACTCTGGCTCTTGCTAGCTGTGTTACTCTAGGACAGCCCTCATAGCATTTATGAGCCTCAACCTCCTCATCTGTAAAATGGCCAGCAATCGCTGCTGACCTTACCTGGCTATTTGGAGGGTAAACTGATGTGCTGAGTGAGTGAAAGTGAGTTATAAATTCTAATGCATCAGGCAAATATAGAGTACTGTTTTTCCTTTGTGGAGACACAGTGCCTCTCACAGGGAGCTGCTCTCCTTGCCTCTGCCTCCGGTGGCTTCTGGTTTCTGGGGAGAGAAGCAGCTGGAGTGTAGGAACAAAAGGGAGGGGGGAATCGGAGCGCTTCCCTGCCTGATTCTGGTTCACCAACAGGTCCGCCAGGAGCCGGTCTCCCAGCCCTGCCCCTTGCAGCCGCAGTCACAGCCGCAGCCACAGCCGCAGTCACAGCCACAGCCGCAGTCACAGCCACAGCCGCAGTCACAGCCGAAGCAGATCGGCCAGCCCCTCCTCTGCCAAGGCCAGGACCCCGTCCCCGAATCGCGCCAAACTGTCCAGCGTGGCGCGCAAAGCCGCCCTGCTCTCCCGGTTCAGCGATGCCTACTCCCAGGGCCGCCTGGATGCGCAGTGCCTGCTGCGGCGCTGTATCGACAAGGCCGAGACGGTGCAGCGCATCATCTACATCGCGACCGTGGTGCGTGAGCCCCGCCGTGGGTCGCTGCGCTTCCGTGGTTCCCGTTCCCGGGCAGAGCGGGCGGGAAACCTGGGTAACCGCAACAGGACGCTCCAGAAGTGCCTGAGGTCACTGAAGCGGGGTGGGCTTCCGCTTCCTCCCTCCCTCCCTTCCTCTTTCCCCTCTTCTGTTCTTTCTTTTTCTCTCCTTCCTTCTTACTCTCCTTCCATCCACCTATTACAAATATTTGCGATGAATTATTTTTCACACTAAGTAACATTTTCTTATGGGCTTCCCTGGTGGTTCAGTGGTCAAGAGCCCGCCTTCCAATGCAGGTTTGATCTCTGGGTAGGGAGGATCCCCTGGAGAAGGAAATGCCAACTCACCCCAGTATTCTTGCCTGGGAAATCCCATGGACAGAGGAACCTGGGGCGGGGCGGCAGAGAAGGGGTGCTACAGCCCATGGGGTTGCAAAAGAGTTGGACACAACTTAGCGACTAAACAACAAAAACAAACATTTGATTGGTTATCTTCCATTCTTAGAAAAATCATAAAGCCCTGAATATTTTAACTCTTTTTTTTTAATGTAACGAAGAGCAGTTACTGAAATTGCTAATATAACAGCTATTTGAATATGGAAAATTAAGGAGTGCTTATATATAATCTTCAGTTCTATGGGTACCATATTGAGAAACTAAGAGCTTGTTATGAGAACAATTAAATATTACAAAACAAAACAAAATATTGGTGTAAGAGAAGAATTACCAGAATATTTTGAATTTTATCCTATGTTTATTATATATTAGGAGTCAGCAAACTATGACATAATTTTCTCTTATTTCTTGACCACTAATATGATCATGCTGTGGGGACAAAGCATCAACTGGCATACTTCAAGTATTTATGTAACCACAGGTGATTTTATTTCCTTGAATGCCTGCCTTGTCCTGATTCTTGAAATCAGGGTTATCAGAACAATGATCAACTATCTCAAAATTAGTGAATATAGGTAATCTAATAGATGATGGATAGAACATGTATTTACTCACTTTCCAAAATTTAGTTGTGTATTTTCTCCCAGATTAAAAATAGTTTTGACTGCTGGGTTTAGTTTTCAGAAGTCCAATATGATGCTGAATTTTTTGGGGTATTCTTTCTTTGTTCCTTGCTTTGGACCTCTTTACTCCTCTCCTCCCACCAAATACATTGGCTGTATTTTATGTGCAGGAGGCGTTCCATGTGGCCAAAATGGCATTCAGACACTTCAAGATCCGCGTGAGGAAATCACTGACACCGTCTTGCGCAGGGTCAAATGACTTTGAGGATGCTGTCTCGGATTATATCATCTGTCATCTTGATCTATATGATTCCCAAAGCAGTGTTAATGTAAGTGTTGGGTCTTTTATTGGGACTGGTTTGCTACAGCTGCTGCATTGAATGCTAATAACTGAGAAATCCATCCAGTGCTTACTGTCACTTCTGATAGCTTATGGTGAACGATGTCGGATTTGTGATCTCTGAAGAAGACTTAACTTTGGGACCAGGGACCAGGCTTGATCACTCAAGAACTTTTGTGCAGCAGAGTTTTATTAAAGTATGAAAATGGACAGAGAAAGCTTCTGACATAGACATCAGAAGGGGGATGAAGAGTGCCCTCCTCGCTAGTCTTAGCAAGGCCTTATATACTTTTATCAGACCCACTCCCACAACATGCATCTTAAATTGGTTTTTCCAGTTGTCATGCGTGGATGTGAGAGTTGGACTATAAAGAAAGCTGAGTACCGAAGAATTGATGCTTTTGAACTGTGGTGTTGGAGAAGATCTTGAGAGTTCTTTGAACTGCAAAGAGATCCAACCAATCCATCCTAAAGCAGATCAGTCCTGAATATTCATTGGAAGGACTAATTCTGAAGCCGAAACTCCAATATTTTGGTCACCTGATAAGAAAAACTGACTCATTTTAAAAGACCCTGATGCTGGGAAAGATTGAGGGCAGAAGGAGAAGGGGACTACAGAGGATGAGATGGTTGGATGGCATCACTGACTCAATGGACAGGAGTTTGAGCAAGCTCCAGGAGTTGGTGATGGACAGGGAGGCCTGGCGTGCTGCAGTCCATGGGGTTGCAAGGAGTCGGACATGACTGAGCGACTGAACTGAACTGAACTGAACCAGACCCACTCCCACAGTATACAAGTTTTAAGATAACAAGATTAGTAAGAAGGTTCTTGTTAAGGAGAAACATATCCTTGAGCAAGATACATTGTTATATTGACTAAGACCAAGCAATGTAGAAAAAAATGTTTGTCCTTTTCTCCTCCTGGAGAGCCTTGGACCCCTTGCTCCTCCTCGGGAGCCCCAGACTTCTTACCAACCTGCCTAGGGATTGACTCTCTCACTTCTACGAACATAATGGAAGAGCAGGAGTGAGCAGTATCCAATGTACTCTATAGAACCAGTCATTATTGGCTGTTTCTTTCTTAGACATTTTATGAGGAAACTATTTTGAGCTTTGTAGTTCTATTCTTCAGACAGGTCCTTAAGGTTGAAAGACAGGATATCATAGTGGTTAAGAGCAATGATTTTGGGAAAGATACTTATGGATTTGCATCCTGGCTCTGCCACTTACTAGCTGTGTGACCTTGCACATTTACTTAACTTTCCTGTACTTAGACTTCCCTGGTGGCTCAGATGGAAAGCGTCTGCCTACAGTGCAGGAGACCCGGGTTCAATCCCTGGGTTGGGAAGACCTGGAGAAGGAAATGGCAACCCACTCCAGTATTCTTGTCTGGAAAATCCCACGGACGGAGGAGCCTGGTAGGCTACAGTCCATGGTGTTGCAGAATCGGGCATGACTGAGCGACTTCACTTTCACTTTCTGTACTTAGATTTTCTAATCCTTAAGTGGGAGCAACAATGGTCATGACCCCACAGAGTTTGTGAGAGGATTAAATGAAAGGAAGCAGGTAATTTTCTTAGCAAAAAAAAACTCTGAATAAGAGCAAGGTTATAATTGTTGGGCTTCCCATGTGGCTCAGTGGCAGCTCTGCCTGCCAATGCAGGAGTTGTGGGTTCTGTCCCTGGGCTAGGAAGTTCCCCTGGAGAAGGAAATGGGAACCCACTCCAGTATTCTTGCCTGAAAAATCCCATGGCAGGCTACAGTCCATGGGTCTCAAAGAGTCAGACCCGACTAAGTGACTGAGCCTGAGAGATTATAATTGGTATTATTATAGATTATGAACAAGGAAGAGTTTTGTGCTGGCAATCATATAACTTGCCCAGAATAGAAAAATAGTAGGAAATAATAAATAAAAGCTATTAAGAGCTTTTACTTTAGTTTTTTTGGGAAGACTTCCTTGGCCTTTAGTATGTCATTTGTTCTCTGTCATCTTTCCTCCTCCTCTGTTAGGGAGTCTTCCTCCTTTCAGCACACGCACTTCTTTTGAGTTTACCTTATTTTCACTCCTGTGCTCCTTTCCCACCTCCCATCAGTCATCACGTCCTTAGGGGTGTTGTCAGTGTATCTTTCGCAGGTTGGTAACAAGATGATGCCATCTTTTTGTTTTTCAGGATGTGATCCGAGCCATGAATGTCAATCCCAAGATTTCATTCCCTCCTGAAGTTGACTTTTGCCTCCTCAGTAACTTCATCCAGGAGATATGTTGCATTGCCTTTGCAATGCAGACTTTAGAACCACCCCTAGATATTGCATTTGGGGCCGATGGAGAAATTTTCAATGATTGCAGGTAAGAGACATAGAAGCAGAAGCTAAGGGATTCTTTATAAATAAATGATATTGTCTTTATTTCCTGGGAACAATTTAGGGAAAAGAACTCTGGGTGGGGAAATCCCCAGACATTACGTGATTTCCAAGCCCTGCCATGTACTCTGAACTACAGTGGGGGGACTCTCCTGGGGTCATTTTCCTTCTTGGTCAAATGTGATTCAGAGGGGACCTTATGATTCCCATTGAGTGTATTGGTTCTGGGGAGAACTAAGGAGCACCTGGGCTCTGGAACACTTTAAAAGAAAAGTGCTATATAAATACACACGTGTATTACTTTTTATTGTCTAAAAATTTTTATTGAGATATAATTGACATTTAATGTCATATGAGTTTCATGTCTACAACATGATTCTATATTTTTATATATTGTGAAATGATTACCATGAAAAGTCTACTTAGCATCTGTTACCATACATAGTTACAAAAATTTGTTTCTTGCAATGAGAACTTTTAAGATCTATTCTCTAAGCACCTTTCAAATTTGCATACAGTATTACTAACTATATTGTTAACAACTGTGCCTCTGGGTGACTTATTCTGTAGCTGAAAGTGTGCCCCTTTTGTGACCTCTCTAGCCCGGTTTGCACACCCCCTACCTCTGACAACCACTGATCTGTCCTTTGTACCTGTGAGCTTGGTTTTTGTTTGTTTTAGATTCCACTATAAGTAAGATTGTATGATATTTGTCTTTCTCTGTCTGACTTATTTCATAATGTCTTCTAGGTCCATCCATGTTGTCTCAATTGACAAGCTTTCATTCTCTTTCTATAGCTAAATAGTATACCATTGTGTATATACTACAACTTCTTTAACCATTAATTCATCATTGAACACTTAAGTGTCTATCTTGGCTATTGTAAATAATACTGCAGTGAACATGGGGGTGCATATATCTTTTCAAGTTAGAGCTTAGTTTTCTTTGGATAAATACCTAGAAGTGGAATTCCTGGATCATACGGTAATTCTGCTTTTAATTTTTTGAGAAACCTCCGTATAGTTTTTCTTTTTTCCTTCTTTTTTTATCGTATAGTTTTTCATAACGGCTATACCAATTTACATTCCCATCAAGGCACAAGGGTTCCTTTTCTCCACATCCTTGCCAGCACTTCTTATCTTTTTGATAACAACTCTTCTATCAGGTGTGAGGTGATAGCTCATTGTGATTTCGATTTCTCTGTCATTAATGGTGTTGAACATCTTTCCATATATCCGTTGGCCATCTGTATATCTTCCTCAGAAAAATGTCCGTTCAGCTCCTTTGCCTAACTGACTGCTGAGAAGTATTCACCCATTTTGGTGTGTGGAATCTGCTCATTTCACAGACTTCTGGCAGGCCTGCTGCTTATATACATACCTGCTGTAACGTGCTGTCTCTTGGGGCACTGTGGCCCGTTCTCCTGGATGGCTATGAGCTCAGACTGGAGTTCCTAATAATGACTGAATTTATTTGGTTCTACCCTAGGGTTTTACAGAACAAGACTAAAAACACCCATGGCTAACTCATGTTGATGTATGGCAGAAATCAAACCAATATAGTAAAGCAGTTATCTTTCAATTAAAAGTAAATAAAAATTTTAAAAAGTGTCCACATTGAATGTAAACTCCAAGTTTGAACTGACCAGACTAGAGGGGCTAACACCATTTTTATTCTCTATTAAGTCTTCTAATTTATAGTAGCTTTTCTTTTTTTTTGAGCCATAGAACACTGTTGACTCATTTTGAGTTCAACTAAACCTTTTTTTTTTCTTCTTTTTTTACTTTTACTGTGATTGAGCCAATCATCTGTGCAGTTACATGCTTTTTATTTGTTAAAAATTTGTTTATTTTTAATTGGAGGACAATTGCTTTACGATATTGTGTTGGTCTCTGCCATACATCAACGTGAATCAGTCACAGGTACACATACGTCCCCTCCCTCCTGAACCCAGCCAGTCACATGCTTTTAAGACTCAGTTGCAGGACCTTATGTTGTTATCTTAGTAGATTTAGCTTATTATAGTTCCAACCTCTTAAACTGTTTTTTCTTTTTTTGATACAGTCATCTGTTTCTTTTTCCCTACCCACTCCCCACCTTTGAACATTTTTCCTGTATTTCATGGGAGTCATTGATGAACATATTGACTTACCCCAGGATTGAGAGAGAGAGAGAGAGAGTGAGCCCTGGGCACCTTCTTTCTCATTGACCCATTAACTACCCATTTTGGATATGATTATTGAACCAGTGTCTAATCTACCTACTTAAGTTAATCACCCACCTATATTTCTCTTATTTTGTCCACAAAGATAACATAATAAATCTTGTAGGTGGCTTATGGGACTTAGAGATGCTCTCCATCTCTAGCGTTTCCCTGAATTACAATTCTTGTAATCCTGAGAAGGAACAAGATTAGTCTGACACGACTTGAGTTTTTCTTGTTGTTGTTATTGTTAATTTTAAAAATTGAAATACAGTTGATTTGCAATGCTGTGTTAGGGCTGCTCTGTTGTACAATGGATAGCACACTAGACTTCCACAATGTTGTGCTAATTTCTGCTGTACATCGTAGTGATTCAGTTATACATATATATGCATTTTAAAAAATATTCTTTTCCAGATGGTTTATCATAGGGTATTGAATATAGTTCACTGTGCTACACAGTAGGACATTGTCGTTTATCCATCTACACATACTAGTTTGCATCTGCTAACAGCAACCCCCCACTCCACCCCTCCCCTGACCACCTCCCTCTAGGCTGTTCTCTATGACATGACTTATCCTTACTGAGCTCATGTTGGGTCCTTGTTATAACTGGTTCCTATTCTAGGAGCCCACAACTATCTCTTTAGTAATAGAATCAGGATCCATATTTATCTAGGTTTGAACAGAATAAAAGATGAAAATTTTACACTGATGACCCTCCCCTCCCAGTTAGGCTACATAACTGCTTAACCTCTCTTGCTTGTTCTTCTGTGTTCGCAATAGGTACCGTCGAAGCTATGACTCCGATTTCACGGCCCCCTTGGTCTTCTATCACGTGTGGCCTGCTCTCATGGAGAATGACTGTGTCGTCATGAAGGGAGAAGCTGTCACCAAGAGAGGGGCTTTTGTACGGTGGCCTTGTGTAGTGACAGTTCATCCCAAGTGTTTGATTCACAAGTTCGACAACATTTATAAACCCAAAGATTGTATAAAAGAAGTTCATAAGGGTTGTTTGATGAGATTTCATACAAAGGAGAGGAATGGGACTGGTTGTGAAACAACAGATTCTTTTCCTTGATTCATGACTCTTCAGAATTTCCTGGCAGTCATTTCTTTGTCTATTGCTTTATTTGTAAGATGGAGGTGGTTTAGTTGCTGAGTCATGTCTGACTCTTTACCACCCCATGGACTGTAGCCCACCAGGCTCCTCTGGGATGTCCCAGGCAAGAATACTGGAGTGGTTGCCATTTCTTCCTCCAGGGGATCTTCCCGACCCAGGGATCGAACCCACATCTCCTGCCTTGGCAGGCCATTCTTTACCACTGAGCCACCTGGGAAGCCTCTTTATAAGATAGAACTGGTCCTATTTACCTTTTTCATCTTATAAAAACTGCTATTATACTATGCCATTATAAGGGCAAAGCCTTTGAGTTCACTTGTTGGAGGCTTTCTATATTTCTAAGCATTTAAAAGTGATGGATAAACTTTCAGGACACAGTTGGTCAAATATTTATTGACAGTTCTCTGGAAATATGTCCTGTTTGGAATGTGTCCTGTTTTTCTCTCCTTGGTATGATGTGTAAGGAGGGGAGGGATGGAGAAAAAGAGGGCAGAGGAAGTGGGGAGAGAGTAGTCAGTCAGTTTCCTATATACATGAGCTGTAGAATGCTTTGAACAAGTCAAATAATTGGACAGCCTTCAAAGTGGAATCCTAGGTATGCAAGTGTGTGAACATGTGTGTGTTAAGGTGGGGATTGGGTGTTGGAACTGGTTGCTATGAATGCTTGGATATTCTGCACATTTCCCATGATGGAGTTTTACCCTGTCCTTCCTAGAAGGAGGTAAGTGAATTCTGGAGAGAAGCGCCTGGGTCCAGAGCAAAGCCACCATCTGGGTGGTCTCAGTTCCTGCCCTCTTTGACTTGGAGAAGACAGGAAGTGTTTCATGGCAGCTTTTCACATGCAGAGTGTGAGAAGCAGAGTAATATATTTTAAAAGAACTTAAGGAAAGGATTTTTGCAGCTTAAACATCTCACTAGAGCAAATAGTATCTCAGTGAAATATTCTGTGCAGTGAAAGCTGAGGCTGTAGAAATTGGTTGTGTTGACTTGAGAACCACACATGCCCACATGAAGTGATCTCATAAAATGTGCTTCTTGCCCTTAAAATAATCACCCTCTGTTAAGAAACTCTTAATGTAGACTGTCTGCAGTATACTTTGTAAGGGGAGGAGAGGAAATAGCCACTATTTCTATGTTCTGCATCAAATAGCAATTGCCTTTTAACTTCCTTTGTCTCTCTCCTTAAGTGCACCATCAGTATTTACCCAAGCTGAAACTCCCAAACTTAAAGAAAATACCCTAAAATCAAAAGCAGAAAAGGAAAGTGTTGGATGAAAGGATCTGATAAGAAGACTTTGACTAGTAAAATCTCATTATAGGAAATAATTTTCTTTTTTGAGCCTTGATTTAGTTTGAGAGTAGAAAGTCCACAGTGGCGATTCACTCATGCACTCATTCATTAATTCATTTTATTTGGTAGTTATTTACAACCCTAGCACTCTGTTTAGGTGCTTGGGATCCAGCAATGAACAAAACAGCCACAAATTCCTGCCCACATGGAGCTTACATTCTCCAACAGTTGAAAATGTCAACGTAATTTCTAACAGCTTCTGCATCAAAACAAAGTTCTGTTGCAGGAAGGGAGACCCCTTCCAGGGCCTGAAACTGGGCACTTGTGTAACACTCGGAAACAAATTGTCCGAGGAGACACGTGTGCTGACAAAGCAAGAGATTTTATTGGGAAAGGGCACCTGGGTGGAGAGCAGGAAGGTAAGGGAACCCAGAACTGCTCTCCCACGTGGCTCACAGTTGGGTTTTATGGTGATGGGATTAGTTTCCAGGTTGTCCTTAGCCAATCATTCTGACTCAGAGTCCTTCCTGGTGGTGCAAGCCTTGTTCAGCCAAGATGGATGCCAGAGAGAAGGATTCTGGGAGGTGGTCAGACAGGTGGTGTCTCCTTTTGACCTTTCCCAAACTCTTCCATTTGGTGGTGGCTTATTAGTTCCATGTTCCTTACCAGGACCTCCTGTCATAAAACAACTCATGCAAACGGTTACTGTGGTGCCTGGCCAGGGTGGGCGGTTTCAATCAGTGTGCTTCCCCTAACAGCTCCCCCCGAGAGACTTCATACTCAAGATACTTCTTGGGAATTGGGGCGGAGGTCTCTTTCTTCTGTAACATTTTCCTGCTGTGCATGGGCTTAGGCCTGCCTAGCAGAGCAGAAGTCTCTCTCTACCTGATCTAAGTCAAGGTACTTTTTGCCTAAAACCAGCATTTACCCTTGTAATAACAGCAATTTAGTTTGAAACTGTTGGCTCCTCTCAGAGATGAAATAGACAGGGGCCAGTTCCCAAGAAGTATCTTGAGTATGAAGTCTCTCGGGGGGAGCTGTTAGGGGAAGCACACTGATTGAAACCGCCCACCCTGGCCAGGCACCACAGTAACCGTTTGCATGAGTTGTTTTATGACAGGAGGTCCTGGTAAGGAACATGGAACTAATAAGCCACCACCAAATGGAAGAGTTTGGGAAAGGTCAAAAGGAGACACCACCTGTCCGACCACCTCCCAGAATCCTTCTCTCTGGCATCCATCTTGGCTGAACAAGGCTTGCACCACCAGGAAGGACTCTGAGTCAGAATGATTGGCTAAGGACAACCTGGAAACTAATCCCATCACCATAAAACCCAACTGTGAGCCACGTGGGAGAGCAGTTCTCATGGGTTCCCTTACCCTCCTGCTCTCCACCCAGGTGCCCTTTCCCAATAAAATCTCTTGCTTTGTCAGCACACGTGTCTCCTCGGACAATTTATTTCCGAGTGTTAGACAAGAGCCCAGTTTCAGGCCCTGGAAGGGGTCTCCCTTCCTGCAACAGTTCCATTAGCCCCAAGAATTTGAATATCCCAAAGTTCATTGTAAGGAGATTTCATTGAGAAATATCCTAGAATTATTGTCAAATATTGGGCAGCTATAAGAAATTAGTGTACCTCATGCTGATGACCAGTAATAGGCAAGTGTAATCATGTCAGAAAATTTCTTGTTCATTCTATGGGATATAAGTATTGTTTTAAGCCACATGGGCTCTTACAAACCATTGACTATTTTTCTCTTTCTTTTTTTTTTTTCAGTGGAATTCAGTACGACCTATAAGTCGATGTCGAAGCAGGAGTTTGAGCCCCATCTGCCCTCGTTCCCGTATTGGTTTAGGCATGGTACTGTATCTGTCTCATTGTTTTTACACAAAATCATCTTATGTATTTTTTCATCCACAGTTACCTATAAAAGAGGTGATGGTAAGTCTGGAGGTAGAAAGAGAACCTGCTGAAGTCAGCTTAGATTGATTTCTATCTGACCTTGGGCTAAGGAATTTATCATTCTAGAAAGAAGGAAATAGAGGTAGTTTTTTTTTCCTTTATTAGTTATTTCATTGCTTTATTTTTATCTTTAAATGATTAGCTATCAATTAGTCTTCTGAACAGAGAATGGGACATCTTAAGTCAACTGATCTCTGTACACACCAGTCCCTGGTTCCTCTAGAAGTTCTTGTATGAACTTGGAGAAATTGCTCAAATGATCTGAATTTCAATACTGTATAAAAGGCATTGCAGGTATTGATTTTCCTCCAAATTTCAAAGTAGGAAGAATTAAGATTAGTCTCTGTATATTTGTTCTTAGGATTACTAATAAGTCTGTCAAAGAAAAAAAAAAAAGCAAAAACACCTCTGAAGACTGTGGCAATAATACCCATAAAACCTGACATTATTATGAATCACCACTGTTCATTCATTCAATCATAATATTTAGTTAATGCCTTTCAAATACATGTCTGGACCAAGACATGTGGATACCAGATAGGCTAACAATTTGCTTTTCCTTCAAATAAAAATTCCTTAAGTATTTGTTCAACCTAGTTTTGGGGAGAATGGTGAAGAAGGAGGATCGCATTTGTCAAGGCTCCATTTCTCTGAAATTATCTCTAGTGATGCAACTCTAGCCCTACACTTCTAAACCCCTCTCAGCAAAACATTATGTTTAATAAAGTTCCTATCAAATGTTTATCCTGTACTGCGTTGATGCTAGACTAGGAGGAGAGGGGCAACACCCAAATGATTAAAACATGTCCTCTTTCCTGAATGGGTTTCAGTATAGGAAGATCAGTATGGGAAGATCAGTATGATTTAAACAAAGGAACTGAATGTGGTATATGATAGAGTCCATAAAAGAGGCACTGTGTACTAAAGCCTTCAGAGGAGGCAGTAATTCCCTCTGGATTTGGTTCATGGGGGAGGTGGTATGTGATCTTACAGAGTTTTTATGGATTGAGGAAGACTAACCATAGGAACAAAATGGCCTGAGAATGCAAAGGCATGTGTCAGACACGGTTCTTTTGCTCTTGCAGATTTTAATATAACTTAATTATCTTTATTGCCAAAGAAATATTCACCATAGGTAAAAGCAAAAGGATTGTGCATTAATGGGCTGATAAAGAGACATCTTATGAGTTTTATACTGGAAGAATAAAAATTCTCCTCATCCTAAGAGAGTGTTATATCAGAAGCAAGAGCAGTATTAGCCACTTGTTCTTACAGCCATGACACATTTTGACTCTGGACACTCACTGGAGATTTATCAATGGGCAGCGTCCCTCTGTGATAAGTACCTATACATGTTTGAGCCCCTCCTCTTTCTTTTCTCCCTGGGTAAACGAACTCTGGACGGAGGTTCGTGACATTGTACAGGAGACAGGGATCAAGACCAGCCCCAAGAAAAGGAAATGCCAAAGAGCAAGATGGCTGTCTGAGGAGGCCTTACACATAGCTGTGAAAAGAAGAGAAATGAAAAGCAAAGGAGAAAAGGAAAGACATTCCCATCTGAATGCAGAGTTCCGAAGAATAGCAAGGAGAGATAAGAAAGCCTTCCTCAGTGATCAGTGCAAGAAATAGAGGAACACAATAGAATGGGAAAGACTAGAGATCTCTCCAAGAAAATCAGAGATACCAAGGGAACATTTCATGCAAAGATGGGCTCAATAAAGGACAGAAATGGTATGGACCTAACAGAAGCAGAAGATATTAAGAAGAGGTGGCAAGAATACACAGAAGAACTGTACAAAAAAGGTCTTCATGACCCAGATAATCATGAAGGTGTGATCACTCACACTCACCTAGGGCCAGACATCCTGGAATGTGAAGTCAGGTAGGCCTTAGGAAGCATCACTACGAACAAAGCTAGTGGAGGCGATGGAATTCCNAACCTCTTGATGAAAGTGAAAGAAGAGAGTGAAAAAGTTGGCTTAAAACTCAACACTCAAAAAACTAAGATCATGGCATGTGGTCCCATTACTTCATGGCAAATAGATGGGGAAACAGTGTAAGACTTTATTTTTTGGGGCTCCAAAATCACTGCGGATGGTGATTGCAGCCATGAAATTAAAAGACGCTTACTCCTTGGAAGGAAATTTATGACCAACCTAGATAGCATATTAAAAAGCAGAGACATTACTTTGCCAACAAAGTCTGTCTAGTCGAGGCTATGGTTTTTCCAGTGGTCATGTATGGATGTGAGAGTTGGACTATAAAGAAAGCTGAGCACCCAAGAATTGATGCTTTTGAACTGTGGTGTTGGAGGAGACTCTTGAGAGTCCCTTGGACTGCAAGGAGATCCAACCAGTCCATCCTAAAGGAGGTTAGTACTGGGTGTTCTTTGGAGGGACTGATGTTGAAGCTGAAACTCCAATACTTTGACCACCTGATGCGAGGAGCTGACTCATTTTAAAAGACCCTGATGCTGGGAAAGATTGAGGGCAGGAGGAGAAGAGGACAGCAGAGGATGAGATGGTTGGATGGCATCACCAACAAAATGCACATAGGTTTGGGTAGACTCCAGGAGTTGGTGATGGACAGGGAGGCCTGGTGTGCTGTGGTTCATGGGGTCACAAAGAGTCGGACACAACTGAACAACTGAATTGAACTGAACTGAAATAAACTTAAAACTTTTGATAAGAATAAAATGCATTTTCAAAGGTGAAACTATTGCCAAAATTCTGTCCCTATCCACCATTATCTCTTTACAAGACTGGTACAAATGTTTTTGGTTAATCTGATTGACTTGTTTGAGATTTCATAGGCAGAAAAGCGTCCATCTTTGCTAGTGTCTATTTAAAGTGAAGGCTTGGAGTAAGAATGATGCCTGCAGTCAATTATTTCTGAGCCATGTCAGGCTTATAGGTAACTGGGATAGCTGGTTTTTGCTCAGTGAAAGCAAAGATGAGATTTGACCTGTGGGTCTTTTCTGGCTTCCCAGGGACTCCCTTTAATAGGCAGCATTTTGGGCACATGAGATAATTCATATAAAGAATGTTCCAGAGAGTATTTGATAATTTTGGTCTTAATTAATCTTCATAATTATAATAATATCTTCTGGAAGTCATGGAATTCAGTATGGCCAGTGAGCATCCAATCTCAAAAAATGTTTAGCAACTGTTAACAACCACCAGCACAAAAGCCAACAAAACCCAGGCCACTGAATAATTTAAGCTAAATTGAGTATATATGCACTTTGGGAAGTATAATAGGAATCATAGGGCAAAAACTTCAGGGCTAAGCCTGTAGCTGTAAACTGCTTCAGAGCAATTGTTTAGCTGGATTTAGGGAAAAAAACATCAAAAGGGTTCATTGTTTGAGCTTCATCTACTGTGTAATTTGCATTACACTTTTATATTTTCCAGATATCTCGAAGCCGGAGTCCTTCTCCGATAAGATGTGGATTGCCAAGTAAGTGGGATTGTCTAGGTGGAGCAAGGTTTCTGTTTTTTAATGTTTCTCTTAGTACTCAGCATGGAGCAGCAATATGAATGTTTTGCTGCCTGGAGAATGGCAGGCTACAGTCCATAGGGTCACAGAGAGTTGGACACGACTGAGCGACTAACACGTTCGCTTTCAAACTTGGATTAACCACCCATGTTTTGTTTAGGTCTTCTCAAAAGAAAGTCTAATAAATCAACTGTAATAATGAGCCCTTTGTTTTTCTCCCTAGGGTTTTAAAACCACCAGCCACGTTCCTCTGCCCAGGACACCTACAATGGCCAGCTTACCCAGTGCTTCCGCCTTCCTGCTGTGTTGCCTCAGACCTCACCTAAGCTAATGTGACAAGGCAATTCTGTGTATCACTTCACACAGAGAGTTAAATGTTTTGGCTTAGTGCATTTGTAACTGCAGATATATTGCATTTTATTTTATTTTTATAGATACAGATTCCATTAATTTGATAAAAACTATTGCCTAGGTGTTTAGGATCATATTCATTTGAAGCAAAGTCCATTATACAGGTTCAGGATTCTCAACCTGAAACACGAGGCTCTTTTATAACAGCTAAAGTGGAAAACTTTTACTGTGCTATGTCCAAAAGACAAGAAAAGTCATTTCAATTTGCAGACTGATCATAAATATTATAATTGGTGGTTTTAGATTTAGCTGGAAAACAATCTGGGCTGTTTTTATTTTCTTTGGGGACTTGGAAGACAGCCCCAGTCTCAAGTTGGGGAACTTATAGCATAACAGGGACTTCAGGCTACATGTACATGATGATGACTTAGGAAAATATAGTTCATTGGTTGGCTTCTCTTTTCCTACTTTCAAGTGCCTGGTTTGGTTTAGTTGAGCACTGTTGGTTGAAGCTACTTACTTGAGAGAGTTCTCTTGCTTCATAAATGTGGAGTGGTGATTTGGGTAGAAGTTAACTTGGAGACTATATGTTAGTTACCTTGTGTTTATCTCCTGGGAATGTTTCTGAATGAACTTTTAATGTACATGTTAAATAAAAAAGCTACATCCTGACATCTTTTACCTATTCTACTTAGTTGGTTATAAACTCAGATCTCCTAAGAACTCCATCTGACACCGATGGTTGGGAGTGTAAACTGGTGCAGTCACTATGCAGAACAGTGTGGAGGTTCCTTAAGAAAGTAAAAATAGAGCTACCGATATAACCCAGCAATGCAGTCTTGGCATGTATCCAGAGAAAAACGTGAATTCGAAAGGATACATGCACCCCAATGTTCATAGCAGCACTATTTACAACAGCCAAGACGTGGAAGCAACCTAAGTATACATCAACAGATGAATGGATAAAGAAGATTGGTACATATATTGGAATACTACTCAACCATTAAAAGAATGAACTAATGCTATCTGTAGCAACATGGATGGGCCTGGAGATTACCATGCTAAGTGAAGTAAGTCAGACAGAGAAAGATAAATATTGTATGATATTGCTTACACATGCAACGTAAAAAAATGATACAGATGAACTTATTCACAGAACAGAAACAGACTCACCAGACTTACAGAACAAATTTATGGTTACACTGGGAGAAGGCTGGGGAGGGAGAGGCATAGATTAGGAGTTTGGGATTGACTTGCACACACTGCTGTATTTAAAATGAAATGCATTTCCATGAAAAAAAAGAAAGGGACATGCCTGGAATGCAGAAGAGTTCTTATTGAATAGTTGATTAATAAATGACATTTAGCTATGCTAAACAATTAAAAAATGAAATAGCACTATTGTTTTTGATTTTTGCTNAACTCCTGTAGCTCAATTCCAGAAAAATAAATGACCCAATCAAAAAATGGGCCAAAGAAATAAACAGACATTTCTCCAAGGAAGACATATGGATGGCAAAAAAACACATGAAAAGATTCTCAACATCACTCATTATCAGAGAAATGCAAATCAAATGACAACTTTTGCTGTGTGCCTTTTAGAGAGAAGCTCTGGATTGGTCCCAGCTCAGTTTGCGTTAAGTTTAGCACCAGAACCAGCAGCTGGGGCTATTTGGGTGAAAACAGATAAAAACAAAATGAAAACCCCCACAGATAACAAAAAGAAAAACTTCTCTAAAGCATCTGTCTTTTGTGCTGGGACACAGGCGAGGGAGAGACCTCTCTAGCCTCCACTCCATAGACTGCAGCCCGCCAAACTTCTCTGTCCATGGATTCTCCAGGCAAGAACACTGGAGTGGGTTGCCATGCCCTCCTCCAGGGGATCTTCCCGACCCAGGGATCAAACCTGGGTCTCTGAGCCACCAACTTATTCTGAAGTGCAAGCTTCATTGTTCTCCCTCTGTGTTTGTGTAGTCACCATTTTGAGGCAGGGCCGAGTGCTGAGAGAAGAGCTCAGTGTCCAGGCAGATCCAGTTTTGACTTGGTCCTCAGCTTGCTTGGTGGCCTGAAGCAAGTTACTGCACCTCTCTGAGCCTCACTTTCACCAAAGAGTGAGGCAGTGGATGGGATCAGTAGTTATGTCAACCCTCCCAGGCTCAGCACCTCCTTTCATAATATGAGTTCTGGCTATTCTGAGATGAAGTTCAAAATTAGTGTGATTATAGGCATATATGCTTTTAAACAGTGGATACAGTACTCAAACTGTAATATAAACAGAAATAAAAGGAAATTTTTAATAAAACAATGTATTTCAACAAAAAGCCTTGGGTATAATGATCCTAGAAGACACAGTGAAGTCATCAGACACTTGCACCTGTATGTAGAATTACCAGCTACAAATGTAGATCAGTGTGCATTGTATTGGTGACATCAGAAACACTGATGCCAGGGGTTTTCTGAAATGGTGAACAACTCTTGGTGAAGTTTTGAATAATAACTTGCAGCAGTGCCTTGATTTGCATAGTAAATGCATGCCTGGAAAAGCTGGTGTATATTAAAACCATAAATCAATTACTTTGTGTTATGGGCTAAAAGGTCTTTTCTAAAATCTCACTAAATAATGAGAATGCCTACATATCAGAATTTTTTTTAGGACTGAAATGTGGGAATGCACCTGGTTGGGAAAAACATTGTATGTACTCAGTTTATTTGCTCTGTATCCTGTCAGGCCACTTGCCATTTCCCAAGTCTTTGATTTGAACTGTAACTGCACGGGGCCTGGCAGTTAGTCTCGAATAATTTGTGGAAAGGGTCCAAAACCAGAAGGTGGCTGACCTATACTCATTTCTTCAAGGCATGCACCTTAACCTTGGTGACTTTGAAAAATGATAAACTTTTATTGTAACCTGGGTAAATGTTAGTTATTGTTAATGTTAATGTTAATTGTTAATGTTAGTTCAACCTCTAATAATGAAATCAAGAAAAAAATTCTTCTGTACTTCTAAGTTCTTTGCAGTGATATGCTCTCCTTGCAGATTCCCTTCGTCCACCTCCCTTCTGTGAGGCCTGAACCACGGCTGCAAATTCCCTCAAAAAATATCAACAGTGCCTCTGCTCTGGGCTTGACTTTGTGATGCTGCAGTTCCCTGCTGTAGCATCATTGCCAGCTTCAGTTTATTCACAATTTATTGCCTTCATATTCGAGACACACTCTCTGAGTAGTTCTATACTGTTTTTATAGAGTTTTCACACACATGATTTCAGTTGCTCCCCACAAGAAATCCAGGTGTCAGATCAGTTCAGTTCAGTCTCTCAGTCGTGTCTGTCTCTTTGCGACCCCATGGACCGCAGCACGCCAGGCTTCCCTGTCCATCACCAACTCCCGGAGCTTACTCAAACTCATGTCCATTGAGTCGGTGATGCCATCCAACCATCTCATCCTCTGTCGTCCCCTTCTCCTCCTGCCCCCAATCCCTCCAAGCATCAGGGTCTTTTCAGATGAGTCAGTTCCTTGCATCAGGTGGCCAAAGTATTGGAGTTTCAACTTCAGCATCAGTCCTTCCAATGAATATTCAGGACTGATTTCCTTTAGGTTGGACTGGTTGGATCTCCTTGCAGTCCAAGGGATTCTCAAGAGTGTTCTCCAACACCACAGTTCAAAAGCATCAGTTCTTCGGCACTCAGCTTTCTTTATAGTCCAACTCTCACATCCATACGTGACCACTGGAGAAACCATAGCTTTCACTAGATGGACCTTTGCTCTGCTTTTTAATATGCTGTGTAGGTTGGTCATAACTTTTCTTCCAAGGAGCAGTGGTCTTTTAATTTCATGGCTGCAGTCACCATCTGCAGTGATTTTGGAGTGCCCCAAAATAAAGTTTGTCACTACTTCCATTGTTTCCCCATCTATTTGCCATGAAGTGATGAGACTGGATGCCATGATCTTAGTTTTCTGAAAGTTGAGTTTTAAGCCAACGTTTTCACTCTCCTCTTTCACTTTCATTGAGAGGCTCTTTAGTTCCTCTTCACTTTCTGTCATCTGCATATCTGAGGTTATTGATATTTCTCCCGGCAATCTTGATTCCAGCTTGTGCTTCATCCAGCCCAGCATTTCTCATGATGTACTCTGCATATAAGTTAAATAAGCAGGGTGACAATATACAGCCTTCATGTACTCCTTTCTCGATTTGGAACCAGTCTGTCGTTTCATGTCCAGTTCTAAGTGTTGCTTCTTGACCTGCATACAGATTTCTCAGGAGGCAGGTTGAGTGGTCTGGTATTCCCATCTTTTTAAGAATTTTGCAGTTTGTTGTGATCCACACAGCATAAAAAAGGTAAGGAAACGGTTCATCGAGTACATCATGCAGTCTTCCTTCAAGGCTTTTTATTTCAAAATAATAGTCAATCATGTTTTCTTTTGTTCCTCTATGGCCTACTGCATCATTTCTTTTGTTTATTGCTTTGTTTGTTTGTTCATTCATTCATATACTCTCAAGTTCAATGAGCTTCTCCTGGGTGATAGATACAGTATACACCACTAGGGATACACTGATAGACAAGGTACTGGCTCTTCTGAACTTAATGTCATGTTCAGTTGCATTCCTTTGTTTTTCCTGTCATAGAGAGCATGTATGATGGAAGAAAGAAGAAAATACAGTCAGTAGAGCAAATTTAAGAGTGCCACATATCAATTGAATTAATTTGAGGACAAATATCTATATATAAGAAAGGTATGCAAGACAATGGAAGTATAGTGAACTTCATGAGAGAATGTAACTCAGTTATGTCATCCACTCATCCTTTTAGCCATTCTTTTAACAAGTATCCACTGAAACTGTAATCCTAAGATCATCATGAACAATGAAATGAGTGTGGGGAGAGGGGCTTAGAGATCTGTGTAACACTTTTTGCCACGCTACTTTGTGTTCCACCTACTATATTCCTAAAAAATGAGGCAAGTTGCTGACGATTATAATTCACTTTTAGGCACCCTGAGAATCCTTCATGAGGCAGATTGCTGCCAACAGTTTTCTATAAATTTTGGGTCAAATGAAAGACTTCTTAGTAGTGTGACTTTAAATAATATCATACCTACAATTAAGGGTAATATATTATGGAGATTCTAAGAAACTAGTATTCCAAACTGCATTAGGTCATTGAAATGTGAGTCCAGGGGCCATATGAATAAGTGACATTCAATATATGCCATTTAAATACCAGAGTGGTGAAGCCTTAACGCAGTGAGTGAATATGGGCCTTGAAAATAAAGCTGGAATGAATTTTCTTCTTTCAAATGCAACGTGATTGGATAATTTCATGCTCAAAATTTTTCTCCTAAGGTTGCCAGAATGAACATCATACTTTCCACAATATCACTGGCAATTAGTATGTCAGCCAGGCAGCTAACTTCATCTCCTATTAGGTGAGCAACAAAAAATATGATAAATGGGTATGTTATAGCTTCATTTCAGTATAGTTTAAGCCATAATTTTAGTGAAACAACCAAAATAATGTCTTGCAATGTGATGTGAAGTATATTTTGGAAAAGATAGTAATTGTCAGAAGATCTTGAGCGCCACTGGATGAAATTGACCCTTCTGCAATTGACTTTTGGTGTTGGAGTGCTGGCGCTGCTTCCGTCTTCTTGGACCAGGGAACCCAGCCCTGCAATG